GGACCCAAAAATACAGTGGCTTTTAAAAATCAATTGACCTTCAAAAGCAGCCCATCTCTGCGTGTGACAGTAAAAATAAAAATTTGCCACACCCCTTAGCCCAAATCTTAAAATAAAACGTGCAGAGCTGGAAGATCTTAGATTACCAGAAAGGGAACACTAAATTTTTTAGAAATGTAAATTAGTTTTGATGTGTAGATCTGCTTTTAGCAAGTAAGATAAGATGCATCTTTATTGTCCAGATCCTGGCACATTGGTTTGGTGTTCCACCACGTGTACACATACACACACACACACACACACACACACACAAACACAAACACGCACACACGTGCACACACAAGTAGGCTTACAATCACATGCATAATATAAATGAGCAGCAATATAAACAATAATAATTGTAAGCTAGATACACACTCAATGTTATTTTGATGCATGCTGTAAGGTTGTAAGTTTACTTATTAAATACAAGATGGTTAAGATCATGGAAGCATTTTGATAGATGATGGTAAAAATGACCTTCTGTATCTTTCTTCGTTACAGATCAGAAGCATAGTAGGTCTTTTACTTCTGACGGATGTTTTTATTTGAGGGAACAAGGGATGTTTGTTGTCTAAAAAGATGGAATTAATTTTCTTAGTGCAAGCAGGTGTTTCTCATCCCCCATCCATTCCCAACACACCAACAAAATTAGAAGGCCAGAAAATGAAAACAAACTAAAAAACAGAAAACTGCATAGTTAGACTTGTTGGTAGAATGGAAACTTTACACAACAGACACACGGATGGATTACATATGTAGAATAATACCAGTCTATACAACAATACATTAAAAAACACAATGACAATGGACTTAAATATTAAAAGGCCGGCTCTGTGTCTCAGAACGTTTGGGAAAATAAACTTGAACTCTATTTCTCCGAGCGGTTTCCGTTCTCGAGATTTGTTGAAAGCGAATGGAGTGGGCCGTGTGTGTGTGTGTGTGTGTGTGTCTGTCTGTGTGGGTGTAAGGTGTGAACG